TACAAGGCTCTTGCAGGCTCATAAGAAGCAAAATGGGGGGATCAACATCCATGGTGTCTGGGATATCATATCAACATCTTCCAACTGGCCAAAGTCATTCAACAAACAACTCCTCCAAGTCTTGGATGTGCCCAGCTGAATCGTGTCTCTTTTCACCCCTGGCGTCTTGTCTGATGGCCAGGAGACGTTCTTGGCTCAGGGCATCAAAGACATAGAGGGGACACAAACGTCCCTCACCTCGTCAAACGCACATGAGGGGCAAAAACGTTCCTCAAAATGCTCGCTGCGTGTCTGGCCCGGTCATCGGGGGTCATCGGGGGTCATGTGTGGTCCTAGTCTGAGCATCTCTCAGCCACCAAAAACGTGGCTCACAAATATCAGCACAGTGATCACTATCTGAAGCAACTTACGAGTCTTCCTGCAATCTGATTGGCTCTCGTATGCAAAAAAGGTGCCACGTGGCTAGTGGCTGAGCATCGGAGTGGACAGGAGGGATTGCCCAGCGGAATACGGGCCAAAATGGGCCAAACACAGCTGTGCATCCTGCGACCAATGCAACGAATCCTCCGAACCGCTCGGCCTGAATCCAGCACAAAGCTGAACGGGTGCTGCTGGTAGAGCTTTGAGAGTGCCTCGATTGGTGCAACAGAGCTAGAAGCAGTGAAGCAAGCACGAAGTCTGAGCAAACGCGCTTGTTCATTTCTCATCAAGCAAGCAATGAGTTGATGTAAGGCGTTGTTCGAGCTTGGAATCCAATTTTCTGTCTGCGTGGACAGGTCTAAACCTCGATCACTCTGAAGTATCAACAGGTAATCAGGACCAAACTTGGAGCCTCCTCGTAGAGACTTTGCAACCATAACTGCGACTGAGCTGCAGGTGGAACATGTTTGGAATTCGTGGGCAACACCCGAGCGGCAAAGCCCAGCACGATGTGTAGCAGCTTTTTACTGGCGCTCGAGGTGGTGCGGAGGTCATGCGCCCGGGTGGGCAGTTAGGACCGCAACTCCCAGGTGGTCGTTCGTATGTGATAGGTGGTCTCCACGCAAATGGGATCTCTGTTGGAGTCTGGATTCAGTGGATTTTGTTCATTCTGGCAATACGCACTGCGGTGCAAGGATGAGCATTTGGGTCCACATAGCAAATTTGTGAGAAGCCCATCCTCATCGTCTCTATAACTCATACAGCAGACCGTGCCTTCATACAGACTACAAGAATTGCCAGAAGAGACAGAAGATTCTCACGGCAAAGGAAGGGAGATGCAAATGCATGGTGCCCAACACCCGTGTCTTTCTGAGAAATTGTGGTCCAAGTCAAAGGTCAAATTCCCTCAACAGTGTCAGCAACCCAACCTGGCAGATTCATCTGCATAGCAATCGAGAACCCAGGAATCTTCCTCCTGTGCAGCGTTCTGATGCACGAAGAATCCTTCTTTTGGAGAAACACCGGGGAAACTCAGCGTGATCAGTGTGATGTGAACTTCATCAATCCTGCGCCGGATTTTTGTTAACCGAGAGATGTCAAAGACGGTACTGATGGGGTCTTGCCGAGTCTTGCCTGTGGACCAAACTAGCTCCATTGGGCGTCCAAAAATACAAGGCCTGATCTGTGGTGGACTTACTGGGTTTACCAGTCAGCCTCAGATCGCTCCTAGGTTTGCTGCGCCAAAGTTTGGCGGCCGAGGGGAGGGGTTCTTCACGCATGCAATGCTGCAAACACTTCACTTCTCTGGGTTGGGTGCAGAGGCTGCCTGGCTTGCCTCTGAGATGTCTGGGGTTTCAATCTGGGGCTGAATGAACACAAACCATTCTGCATCTGCCTCTGCATCTGCATAACTACGAAGTCACCAGGGAGCTGATTTCTCCTCATCTTCGTAGAGCACACACCATAGCTGGCTCCAGTGATCGCCCAAGGCTGGCACCCTTTTCAGGAGCCATCCACTCAGTGCCTCGGAGAAAACGATCTGATCAGATCAGTACTATTGCTACTGCGGTCTTCCAGATCATCTAGTTATACAGTTATACAACAGCGGAATCTCATTTGTCTGTTAAGGTTTCATACAGATGCAGCCAGGGACTCCGTTTGGTGGACACAGCCATGGTTTTCTAGGGCGATGGGTCGAACCCGACTATGGGTCGAAAGCTCCACCGCTCGAACGAACAGGATCTAATGAGGCATGTTGCTTTGAGCTTTGAACCACCGCCAAACCTGTCCCAACTTGTAATCTAAAACAAGTGGGAGTGCCAGTGCTGGCTCCGGGTCATTCCCTCCTTGTGACAAATCCCCTGAGCGACTTTCAGACAAGCCAAAAGAATCCGATGAATCATATGAGTCGTAGATTGGAACTGTCTGAGCAAAAGATTGACCAGAAAACCATCATAGAAATCCTCTGTAGTTTGGTTATATACTGGTGCAATGCTGTGTACAAAGCGTTTGACCTCACACAACACATCACAACACCACCCCCCCTGAAGCCCTGAGACGCGCGGAGCGACGCGGAGACGAGACGAGCGTCGGTCGACCTCGCAGGCAGCGACGCCATGGGCGACGACCGTCGTCTTCGGCGGCAAATGAGAACGGACGGACTGTGTCATATCGTGCTAGATTGTATCCAAAGCAATGTCCTTTTTGATGTGCTGGTGAAACATGAGTTTGTTCAATATTTCATGATCCGACCTTGGTGTTTCTTGATGGGGCAAGCGTATATACATCCTTGCGTCAACCCATCACAAGCCACGAGCCGGATATGATATGGATACATCAAAGCCTTCGGTCTTCGGTTTTGACTTCAATCACACAGCCAGACTTGGGCGGTCCATTCGGTTCAGGCAGCTCGCCGGTGTTCGTGCCATGGCTCTCTGCGAAGTGAAGACGACTGTAGTGAGATGGAAGACCCCCAAGTTCGGGCAGCCATTGGGCCATCGAAAACCAACAGCGGAACCATCTCTGTGCGGAACAGAGGGATCATATGTGAGATCGCCACACGAAGCAGCACTTAGAAGCCAAGTCGTCTCTCGACTTGGTTCCATTGGCATCTGTGGAAGGTTCAGGTGCCATGGAGTTTAACCGAGGGGTGCCATGACTTCCCAGCTGCTGTGCGACTTGGCACGTGATCTGTTTTAGATACATCAGCCTCTAGGTGTATATATAGTGCTGACAGCATTTGTTTCCTTTGATCAGTCGAAATGACAATGCTTCCCAGCCAGCGCTGCCAGCGACTGCCGCCTTTTTGTGTGCAAACCGATCCACCAATCCTCCCTTCGCAAGCCTCCAAAAGCCCGGGCGTGCGACTGAAACTTATGGCTGAATGACGGAACGAGGAGTCTGCAGATTCATAACCCGATTCCATCCCGTTAGATCTCCATCGTCTTTCTGTGGCAAAACTCTCTCAAGATGAACAAGTCAGGAAAGGGCCTCCTTTTGGACAGGACTCACCACATTGCTTCAGTCGCAAGGCCATCCCAGTTGACCTGGATCTCATTGGAAAGTGTGGAAGCCCTACATGGATGGATAGGCGGAAGCAAACAATTCCTTGGATTTACTTGGGAATTCTGGCTCTCTGAAGGAACCATCACAGAGCCTGGTTGATTCAGAGGTTCATGTCGTGCGAGCTACGGTCATCCATCAGATAGAAACGATGTCCAACGATGTCCAAAGGACGGAAAAGGGGAAACGATGTCCATCGACTTAGCACCTGGTGCTCTCATGCGAGACTCATTATGACTCAGTTTCACCTGGCCGCTCAGCCCTACTCGGTCGTTTCTGGAGCGGGTCGCTACAGCCCTCAGGGCCCTCAGCTGGAGCGCGTGGGCGGCACGAACTCCTGGCAGCTCGAGGCGAAAGCCCGGCCCGCATGTTGGAATATGCTTGGAAGATGATGAACATGGATTTAAAAAATACTAAAAATATGTAGTTTATGGTAATTTCATGTAACTTCATGTTCTTGAGTTGATTTCAAGAAAAGGAAGGAGACACAACACACCCGGCGACAGTAAAGGGAGTCCCCGCAACGTAGTCCCGTGCTGAAAGCACATCGTAGCAGCCAGCCTATCCTTCTACTGTGAAATCGACACAAAACCTGAAGGATAGGCTGCTGGTGACTCACCTTCTGAAGTGGCGGCTTTGGGTCTGGTTGCCTTGCCTGGCCTAGCTGGTGGGAATTCTTGTCGAGTCATTCCAAATGATTGAAGTGACTGCTTGTCTCTCACATGCAATGCCGGAGAAGAAAGTCTTTCTGGGTGGGAACAACCTGCAAGCAGACGGATCTCTCTGAAGGGTTCAAATGGCTCTCTGCTGGCTTCACTTCAAATAGTCTTCCGAGACCGAGACCTGTCCTTTACTTCAAAGCGACGCGTGTCGAACAAAACGACGCGACGCGAGTGTTTTCTTCCCCAGCCTTGCCACTGATGAGCCGCCGTTTCTCCTGGCGATGTTCGAGTTCGTTTCTCCAAGATTACTCAAGTCACAGGTCACCGGTTTCTTTGTCGCTTGGGGGAGAAGGGCGATGGGAGTAGTTCGGGGCAGCTAAGTGCAAAACCTAATGGGAAAGCCGGGAAAGCATAGGTTGGGCTTCAAGGTGGGGGAGCCTGCTGTTCATTCTGATGTTCATGAACATTCGGTGAGTAGACCATCTTGGCATACCCCCTTGGTACAAAAAGCAAGCAAAAGCACACAAAAACAAAAATCAAAAGCGCAATGCTCTCTTCTGGCTGTTTGCCTCAGAATGACTTATGCTCTCCTTATGCTGCTTGTTGTTGGTCCCTACACACGTCCCTCGCGCGAGCGAATCCGTTGTTGGTCCCCGCCCGGCATCCGAACCCTGAAATTTAGGCCTTCAAATGGCACAAATGATGCCATCGAGCAGTCTTGGGCAACCACTGCGCGGCATCCTCCGCCACTGTGCGGAGTAGGGGGAACTTCAGCTCCCATTCCATCCTGGTGATGAGTTTCATGCCAGGCCAAAACTAAACCTTGCCCAACCCTGCTGTCAAGCACGGAACCGCTCAGAATTGAGATGGCAAGCCACTCTGCGACGCCTGAAGACGGATCAGGGCAGAAAACATATCCACGCGATGCAACACAATGCCCCTTTCTGACTTTAGAGGCGATTCAAAAAACACGCATGCGACTGTCCAGGCGATATGGAATATGACCTGATTTTGTGGGAAGCTAGGCCAAGTCTTGACGCATGGAAATCTCAACAGCGTGAAGGCCTCCTGAATGAAGACTTCAGTCTCGTTGTCTGGAGGAGGGCCCGCCATGATGAAAGGAAAGAGGATCAGGAGCGCTCCCACCTCAGTGAGTTTGCAGCAATGACCCGAGGGCCAGTCCCTGAAAAGGCTGTACAGTTGAGTTCTATTACAGTATGGTACATATTATCCAGTAGTAAAAGCAAAATTAGAATGGGCACCTTTATAAACATCTCTGGTTTGGGGCCTCAATCTGCTCTCTCAGTCTCACTCAGGCTTCTTGGGCAACATCCAGTGTTCCAGGCTTCTGCTTGTGGCATCCTATGAATCATGCAGCGCTACCTCCCGTTGGACCGGAGGGGGCCACAAGATGCCACGAGAGTTGGTTCGCGCCATGGAAGTGGTTTGGGACATGAGGGGCCACACACTCCTCCCACTCCAACAACATTGACCCTGGTTTCATCTTCTAGTATATATAGCACGCGTTTAGTATGGATGGAGAGTTGGTTCGGGCAAATTCAAACACTACATCATTGATCGACCTCAACCATGTCGCCATCGCCCTCTTCGTCGAAGCCAAGCTGCCCCGAAGATCGCGAAATCGCCTTAAGACTCAATCAAGGTGGACAGGCGGACATAGACATCTAAGATATACTAGAAAGGACCACTCATGGATGTTTCTGGTTGAACTTGGAGATGAAGTGATGTGGAGGTTTGATGAGGTTTGGTCATCGTGGGATAGCCTAATGGCACTTCAGTTGTGCGGAGCTTGCAATAACCAATCGCACCATGAGCAGAGTACACTGGTTGGCTCAGGCAGTTACATATAGTTGGCCCATGGTCGCCCCTCTATCGAATCACAGGCTTAAACGTTATTCCTTATGGCGGCTATGGTGCAGTGTTTGAAGCACTCTCAGTTTTTGCTGCAGTTTCCACTGGTGATAAGATATCACATGTGGTATCCGTCATACAGCATCGCCATTGATTTCACAACAATGTCATGGGTGTCACGATCTCACAACATTATCATCAGTTTCACAACGTTGTCGATCTCACAACATTGTCATCGCATTGCCCATTGTGACTACATGGAGATGAGGGAACGCGGGTGGTTGGGGGAGGGGGTGATGATCCAATTCGCCACATGATCGTCCATCTCATGACATGGTCCTCCCGGCATCGCTACTAGGAGCAAGGACGCTACTAGGGGCTCCTGGCCGTACTACCTAGGAGCAAGGACGCTACTAGGGGCTCCTGGCCGTACTACTAGGAGCAAGGACGCTACTAGGGGCTCAATTTCAACATCTTAACGAAATCGTTCAACATCCTGGCCCCGCAGTGGGTGTTGCTGCAAACGGTCCTGGCCATACAGCGGTGCTGACAGTTTTTGCCCGAAATGGTCGCTTTGATGAGAAAAGCAAAGCGGCTGAAAACGATGATTGTTGAGCGCTGTGCGAAACTGGCTTTGGACATGTAAGTCTACCGGGGATGGGGAGGGGAGCGAGGATAACAATCCTGTTTTTGCCCCCATTAAAATTACCCTGTTCAACTGTTCAACCCCTGAAAGCTTCTGCGTTGTGTTTCCCCATAGAACGATCCATAGAGGCTGTCCAACAAACAAAATACCACCATCCAGCTTAATTAGATGTGTTATGATGTGTTTGCGATTCGCGAGTCCGCGTCTTCTTCTCAGACTACGAACGGTCATGCCCAACTCATGGAACCCAAACTCCCAAGCCAAAGACCAACAGCGAAGATCGAAGATGCACCAACAGCAACTCAGAGGCTAAAGCTTCTTGGATTCGCGGACCAGGACCCGGAAAAAGAAGAACGGCAAATCCAAGCAAATCCAATGGACTTCAAAATACGAAGTTCTTCCCCCACTAAGAGGAAGATCATGATTTCTTAGGGGGGAAACGACATCACGTTCCGCGGGCTTCGGTGCATCGCCCTTCGGCGCCTCCGCTATCATAGGGGAAAACCGAGCGGCTGATGGGAGAGCCCGTCTGCTCCGGTGCTTCCGTGGGCTTCGGCTCGTCCTCACGGGAAGATCGAAAAAGGGGGGGGGGGGCGGGCCATAAGCAGGATCGACGTCAGGATAGAGTCGAGGGTCATCCATGGTCATCCATTTGGAAGTCAACAAGAAAGGGGGGAACGATGAGAGGAACGTCCAACGCGCGCGCGCGCGCGAAAAAACCGGTCGTTCCATTTGACACACGTTCTCGGGTCGTCGTCGCTGAAGCCACGAGCCACGAGACCGACAGGGTGGCTTCGAGGAGAATCATGTGAGATATTCCTTACAGTGTTAGTAACATATTAGCCTTGTTGGCCAAACAATATCTATTTCCTGAATCGCATATATGCCATAAACGAGATTGATCAGGGGCAGTTTTCTTGAAACTCTCCCAAGAATCGCCCGTATATGTTGCACAAGTGAACAAGTCATTGATGCAACACATTGTTGCTGCAGGTTCAAAAACTGTTTACTCTGCTCCACATCCACACCCACGCCCGAGCAAGGGCTCGCCGAATAAAACGGCCCAATTCCGCCGTTGGAATTCCAGACCACGCATCCTTCTGCATGAACTGCATCGCTACCGCCGGAGTTCTTGATCGGGTCTGCCGAGGAAGGGTCCGGCTCCGGCTCGGGAAGGTGCGACCGGTTCGCTTCGTGAGAAAACCAGTTGAATGAGAGACGCCGAAGGCATCTGAATGACGAGCCAGGAACTTTGAGGCGTAACCCGGAACTTCGAAGTCATGAGAAGAAAGTCCTTCATTTGAAGTCGGAAGTCCTTCATTCGTCCTTGGGCCTCTGACTCCACCCGGCCTGCGTCATGGGTGGAGAGACGAAGGCAGAACTCAGCATGAGATAGGCGCTGTGTAGAGCAACCTGGGAGAGCATTGGCTTCACACTAGTGGAACATTAGCATGGCTTCAGGTCACACCAAGCATGGCCACACCAAGCAGATTCCCAAATCCATGGCTTGGCCGCCTTGGCCGCCAGTCCTTCGAAAGTTTGCATGCATCATTGGAACAATGCCCGTGTTCTTCACATCATCAGACGTGTCATGACGTGACCGGTTCCCTAACTGGTTCCTGGAGTCCTTGTGTTCGCCATGGCGGTTCCGAAGGAGGAAGAAGCATGGCTGTTTGTTGCCGGACCGGACTGGACACGAAAACACATCAAAAACAAAGCGCTAACCACAGTCTAAACGCAGATGGTCCTGAGGTCCTGACCAGCAGAAGCAGCACACCCACACGGCTCCGTACAGCCATCCCCGTTGGAAAAAACCTTCGGCTCCAGCTGAGCTGTAAGTGGGAGCATGGAGGTGGTGCTGATGGAGGGTGGGTGGGCACTGAAGCTCTAAATGGATGTGTTCATCGCAACGTTAAACAGATTTAAACGTAAAACAGATTTGGAACTGAACAGCTATTCAATTGGAACTTGCCATGCCAGACCCGTCTCAACAATCAACATGGCCATCTAACCGCCAACCGCCATGGACCCGAGGTTGTGAGCGAAAAGCGAGTTCTCAGTCTCATTCGACTTGAAATCTAATGAGCTGCTTGCTGACCCTGCGTACTGGTACGCAGGTCTGCTTCAATTTTGTCATGCTCTTGGGCCCGACCTTGACTGATCCATCTTACATTCCGGGCAGAATCAGTCATGAGTCATACCCAAAAAAGACACTTGGACATCCCCCCCGACGTCCCCTTCCCGTCCCCTTCCCGTCCCCTTCCCGTCCCCTTCCCCCCCCGTCCTTCCCCCCGAAGGCCACTGGGAGTCCGGGCGTCGGTCGTTTCGTCGCGTCAGTTTGGGGGTGTGAAGCTTAGCTCGAGCCGAGCCCACCGCATCGGTCATCGGTCAGGGTGAAGCAGTCATCACGTGGCGCCACACGAGCTCACCACCATGGATGGGGGTGGAACCCACCCACACAAGCCTAACCCCATCTGTTTAGTGGTCTGCTATACATGCGCGGCTGTTTGGGGGTGAGAATGGATCTCCGAAGCACAGAAGACTCGAATAAACCAAAGGTTGCAATAAAAAGGGAGTCTAAGACCAGTCCTAACCCACTCACTTGGCCTTCTAGTTTAGTGCTTGTCTTCAAGTCCGCACAGGCTTGTCTACCGGTTCTGATGATACCATCATGTTCATCAAACAAATAGCATCAAATACGTCTCATGATGAGGGAGTGCCCCAAAACTGAGTCAAATAATTCTACTGCATGCAAGTCTATCAAGTCGACCAAACCCAGAATGTTGCGGGAGAACTACCTGGATCTTGAGTTAAACCATACATATTGTATGATAAACACATGCCTACTGTATAGACCTGTACGATACATGATGTTAGATAATGTTATTGCTTGACTTATTCCCTCGAAAATCTTGGTCACCATACCGACTCGCAACCCCCTCACCCCAGTCATGTCTGGCCCATGTCCCCAGCCTGGGCAGGACGCCGTCGTCGGGCCTTTCCGATCTGCTGCTGCCAGTGATCCAGGCGTTTTCGGAGCCTACGAGGCCAAAGCACCGAAGCTGTGGCCAGGCTGTTGGGTTTCTTCGTAGAAGAGAAGCAGTGGCCAGCAAAAGCAATCGCTTTTGGTGCATACATGTGACCTGTTTCAATCTATTTGATAGATATGTGGCAAAAAAGACAAGGAAAAATCAAGCAAAGAATACACCCGCTCGCCGAGGCTTGAGCGGCCTCGAATGAAGGAAGCTCTTCGTATGCTTCCTACGTGCGCATGTGTGTAGCGGATTTTGCAAATAGCATTCTACGCGTAGATCGAAAGGCTATATTCCAAGCCCAAGCAGAGTACAGAGATCTTATACATGAATACTAATACCTTTAAGCAGATTTACATGTGGCTTGTATACTGCATGTGGCTTCGTATAATTCAAGCCCAAGCACAACGCAGGACCGCAAGACCCTGGCATAGAATGTCTGGGCTGCTGGCAAGTGGAAAAGGAAGAAGGTCCGAAATGTCATGACCTCAGCAACCAAACATCTGAAACAGAAAAACATCCCCTCAGCAACCAACATAGTGGGTCTCAAATCCTACAAAGCCAAATGGAACACTACAGTACTGTCGCAGGGGCATCTACAGTACTGGGGGCACTCGTCCTCTTGGACACCCCTGGCACTCGTCTTCGGGGCCCCCCCGGCTGGTCGAGCCAGGGCCATGAGGCGATCCTGCCGGGCGAAGCGTCGTTCAGGGGTGTGGCCGTCGGGAAGACTACAACCCTCTGGCTCGGGATCCCCAGAAATTGGCGTTGGACGAGTTTGATTCACCTGAGGAATGCCTCGAGCGTCCCTTTTGATTCAGAAATGGAAAACAGATGAACACAGTATGAAAGAAGCAGCATGAAGCCAATCTTCAGAAATGATTGCTTATATAGCCATTGCTTAGCCTTCTTCCATCTTCCCCGATTCTTCAGGCTCCTCCGTGGCGCCTCGCACGTGCCTCGCGGAGGGAAGCGCGCCCCCGTCTCAAGGCTCCCAGGAAAAAAGGACCCACGAGATCAGCCCGTCTTGATCGATTAGCCCTCGGACATGATCCGTCTGGAACTCTCATCAAACTGGTCGTCCATTGAGTGAGGAAAGAAGCAATGAGCCATGTGATCCCACCATGTGGTCGCTGTGCTGCGAAGATCTCATGTTTGCTGTTCAACCTATTCAAACAGATTCAAACGGTCAAGGGGAGGTGCTTTCACATGCGGTAAGCGCCATCGCAAAGACCGTGCCACACTATTTCCTGTAGTCTTGGGGCTTCCAGAGGCATCAAAATGTCTGAGGTGTATCCAAGTAAAGGATTGTCAGTCGAAACTGACTTCAGGATCTGCTGCACTACTTGATTGAGTCGCTGAGTAGTTACCCAGTGGTCCACCTAAAGCCATCTCTCTGTTCCTCTCCCATGCCTTCCCAACATCCGTGTCTTCCATCTTGAGGCTGTGGCTGATCCGTCAAGGTAAATGACAAGAAACCCACGTTGGGCATAGTCGTCATTGAGAGCCCTGGCAAAAATTGAATTTGCATCACAAAGGCCCGTAGGCCTAGCCATGTGTTTTTCGTGGCAGCCATCAATGGAATGGACCGGTCCGATCCAACACATCTTGAAAAGCCCCCGTTTTTTCAGCCAAACTGTGAAGTTACTATATAAGTCTCAGAGCGATGGCCTCCAACCTAAGAGCGATGGCCTCCAACCTAATAGCCATGGCCTCAGACCTAAGAGCGATGGCCTCCAACCTGAGAGCGACGGCCTCCAACCTAAGAGCGATGGCCTCCAACCTAAGAGCGATGGCCTCCAACCTACTAGCAATGGCCTCCAACCTACGTAGGAGCGATGGCCTCCAACTGACTCCAACCTAAGAGCGATGGCCTCCAACCTAAGAGTGATGGCATCCAACCTAAGAGCGACGGCCTCCAACCAAAGAGCGATGGCCTCAGACCTAAGAACAATGGCCTCCAACCTAAGAGCGATGGCCTTCAACCTACCGTATGTCAAGCTATAAGGGCAAGTGATGCTGAAAACATCCGAACAACACGAAGAACTATCTGCACATGAGCACGGGGTGCCATGATTAGATGACCTGCAAGAAAGCTCCCATGAAGAGACCATCTGAAACTTGGAACTGCTCAACTTAGCAGATAGATACCTTCGGATCCAGCCACTCTCATTCCTTACAAGTCAAATCAAGTCAGTAAAGCATTGAGAACACCCGAACAGATCAAACCCAACCAAACCGACCCATTGGTCGCTGGTCCAGGCTGAATGTCGTTGGTCTTGTCCCGGTCCTCTCAGGTCGCTGATGGTGTTTTTGTCTTTCGGCTCGTGGAACGAACACCTGGGTGGGATGGTCAACATCGATGGTCAACCCACGCGGCCACGTGGGCAGTCTGGACTGAACGTATACGTTCCGCCCAGTACAGCTTTCTCGTGGTCGCTCTGAGTCGCTCTGGGCTGTAAAAAGAGTGTCAAAAGGCTGGAGAGTACTCTGGAACGGTGGTTGACATGCACAGTCTGCCTTCTCCACTCTTCAGACCTGCCAGAACTACCCAGAACCAACTCCCGGGGCCCCGCCCAACCCTGCAGACGCGCATGCCCGCTGCGCAGTCGACTCGAACAGTGCCCTCTTTTGGTCGAACGTCGCTTTGAACGCTCTTTGGACAGGTGGAAGCCACCTGCCCGGCGGCTCCCAGCCCTCTACAGTGAAAGATGGCCCCCTCCACCCCAGTGAGACCAGAAGTGGAACCATTGGGGCACAAGAGCCATCTCTGAACTCACTACAATCAGAGCCTCTTTGGAACACTGATCCTTGAATTTCCGGCTGCATCAAACTGAAGGTCTCCGTCTTCTTGCCCACCTCACTGGCCCCATGGATGCAGGGCCCCGAGCTTTCATGTGTGCAGGGCCCCGCAGGTGGAAGAAATGCTGGAGAAGCCTTGTGCAAAGTATGCGGCCAACCCCACCTGAGGTCGAGCAGCGCTCGAGCGCGGCCGAGCCACGGCCGGGCGCGGCCGAGGCCTACGCGAACAGGGCCTGGGGTGGCTATGTTCAGCATGTTGTTCACCCAACAAGAGGGAAGGGGGCTGAAGACCACCAGGCTATGGCAATGTTATGGCCATGGCGGGCGATGGCACAGTGTCTATACAAGACTTTGAAGTTGGAGGGGTGCTTTCATTTGCGATACACCTTGCATTCTGGTCACCTATCTTTCCTATGGCAGGGGAAAAAAGTCCCATCCATTTCAGGCACATGCATCGGCCCCGGCACAGGAGAAAAACCTACACTCATCTTCCAATGAAGGCGCTGTGTCGATGATAGCAGCTGCGCAAATCAGGTCGCTGTTGTCCTGGCGCGACAAGCGACAAGCGACAGCGACATTCGAAGAGCAAAGACCGAAGAGCAGAGAATCCAAGACCATGGTGAACCCCACATCTACCACTGGTCCATGCTAGAGAGTGGTGGATCAAATGTCTGAAGCCTCTCCTTTACAGGCTTCTTGTTGTTGTGGCAAACAAGGGAGGACCTCGAAAAAGAGGTCCAGGTGCTTCTTAAGTAGATCTCAACATCGGACAGGCTTAGCTTAGCTTGGGCACAATGCTTTAGGCCGCCGGTGACAAATCATGGATGAGACATCAAGGGGACAAGAGTGATAGGTTGATGAATGGACAGAGGAATGGACACAGGGACATACAGACAAACACATAGCAAAGGCAAAGTCCTGCCTGGGTTCACGAGTGAAGGGTGGATGGTGGATCAACACCGGCCCAGCTCCAATCAACTGAATTGGGGTCTTCACCCAGTTTTGGCCAGCTTGGGGCACGACCTCCAACTTGACTCACAACCCAAACCACCTTGTTCACCAGTGCAGGGCAGCCGACCACCGCGTAGATGATGGCAGTTGCAGCGAAGGTCGCAGCACCCACAATGCCACTCACGTCCACCGCGCAGGCCACCCTGACCAAAATGGATGAGATCTCGGAAATTGCAAACCGGCCATGAACATGTCCTTCATGTGATGGGGCATGTGACATATCTGAATTGAATGTCGAGTGGATGATGGTGATCTCAAGTGGATCCATAGAAATCCAAGCCGCAAGCCGCAACGTATCACCTGCTGCTTGATTCTTGACCATTCCAATTGTATGGGGATGCTCCGGTATCCCACGATGCAAACAGGTGGAGGTGGATTGGCTGAAAACCACAGCTGTCTGTGAGGGTCCTGTCTCTTCCCAGCTCAAACCCGAGACAAAACGAGCGCGGAGACGGCGAATCGGTGAGATGCCAAAGGATTGGACAATTGATGAATTCATGGGCGATCGGTCCGATTCCATCTGACATGTCACAGAGTCCAAATACAGGCCACCCACACTGCGCAGACTGATGAATAAATACCACCCTTGCATGAAAAAGATTGTACAACCCATTCATCTGGAGGGTGAACCCTCATCAACAGTCTACAAGATGAGGTCGGAACTGGTCGGATTTTCAATGGAAACTTCATGCCACTCCAAAGAGCTCCTAGTCGATCTTCGAAATTCTGTCCCAGTCACTTCCCAGCTTCCCCCTTGGCCACGTTCTCCGGAGTGCAATGGAGCGTTGCCTGGCCATATGCGGTGCGGCGCTTGGAGGGGTCGGTTCTTAGGAGCAGGCTACTGAGTCACAAGTTAGGAGGTGTGGATTGCGTAGCTAGGCATCTGCAGTGAAAGAACATCTGGCACAACAGCATCTTCCCACTACCAAAAGTCACTAGCTCACTAGTCGAGCCCCACAACGGTAGCCCTGGTGCTCCTGCGTGATGCTGGTGCCCACGCGAGCTAGCCAAAAGGCAGCGTGTCCCACATCAAAAACGCAGGTCGCTTTGGCTGCGGCTTGAGCAGCCTGGCAGAGATCCATTTCGAGGGAAGGAGTCTTAAAAAAGTAGAAACAGGTGCTTCCCACCATTCCTGGGCTCACCTCCTTCAAAGTCCCGGTACTTTGAGACAAACCCACAACAGTCATGCTCTTGGGTGGGGGCGACTAGCTACGCAAGATTCCATCCACTCTGGGAGGTCACCGCCCTTGCGCCCTACGAGGTTCATCCTTTTCCCCCTTCGCAAAAACAGAAAGTGCAGGACATCAAATGGTACGAGAGATGCCCTTGTTCCACCCAGGTCACAAGTGTTTTTGGGCATCCACCGAGGTCCCAAGCACCCAAACCTGTTTAAAGCCGAGATCTCAGCATCCCCGCAGAATCGAATTTCTGGAATTCTGAGACAACAACACAGCCCACAAAACAACTAGGTGATGTCTGTTAGCTCACCTTTCTCACCTGGTTCACCCTCTTCAAATATTCCCACGGCCACACCCCCACTCCAGCCCTTCCACAGCCTTGTTGGCCTCCAAGGTCTGAATCTTCTCCACCACCGGAGGCAGGTTGCCTCCAGGAATGAAAGAAAGTCGATCGCCCCACCCCGGACATTTCAGGAAAATGCACATACATACATACATACATACATACATACATACATACACACACAGATTCATTCATTCCGTCGTTCGCTCGTTCATTCATTTCATTTCATTTCGTTTCGTTTCATTTCATTTCTTTTCATTTGTCATTTCATTTCGTGCATTACATACATACATACATACATACATACATACATACATACATACATACATACATACATACATACA